ATTAACTCAGTGGGGGTGAAAGATACCCTCTCATAACTGTTAAGTATTTCTAATTCTTGTCTAGATTATACGGAAGAATATGAAACCTTTATTCTTCCGTAAATATATCCATAGGATTAGATCCATGGGCACTAAGTCAGGCGGCCTCGACGGCCAACGGCTGGGATCTTGGTTAACTATTCAATTATTCTTGAAATTGGCTTCAAAAATTTGCTGATAACTTCAGCGTTCAGAGGCGGTGCGTCGTCTTGCTGGCAAAATATGTTTTCGAGTTCCATTAAGGGCATATCATCAATAAGGGGTCCAAAGCCTACTAGTTAAAAGTGGCTAACTTTTAAAAACTCTGTATTTCGAAGGGGATTATAACAAAATATCAAGTGCGCTATATTTTTGGAAAGGTAATTTTAAATTCTTTTCAGTTAATTACAAATATAGAGGGTGTCCCAAATAATAAATCAATTTTTCTGTTGATAACTCTTAAATTATTAATTTTAAAAAAAATTATACTTACATTAAATTCTACGTAGGGAAATTTAATGGTGCAGGTAAAAAAAAAGGTGCTTTGGAAATGTTTTCATAGAAATAAAAATTTTCCATAGCAAAAAAATTACAGCGATTTGTTAAAAATGCACATCTTTGAAAAACACCCCGTAACTCCGAAACGGTAACAGATATTGATGTGCGGTTTTCACCATCATGTTTTTGATGAAAATTGAGCTCCAGACACCGATATTAGTTTTCGTCTATCTCCTATAGAAAAGGGTGTTTCCATTTAAAAGCGTCGAATTTGACCCACCCTGTACATAATGTAGTAAAGCTTCATTCAGCTTCATTCATAAAGTTTCTTGTATGCAACACACTGTATTTTAATTATAAAATTAAAATAAAATAATAATAAATTTGAATAAATAATATTTGGCGACATAATTCCGGAAAAAGCCGAACCGATCCGAAATTATCAAAAGCTTAGGGTCGCGACCGTTGCAAGAATAGCGTCAAATAGTGTTTACATTGTCCTCATGGGCACTTTCCAATCTAAACTTATTTCATTTAACTATAATAGATAAAGGAAATAAATTTAGATTGGAATGCCCGTCAAAATATATAATTGTTTTGAGTTGCGACCGTTATACGCGATCTGGTGCTGCTATAGCGGTTGAAAAGATCAACCGCAAACAAAAACAGAAATAATTTTCTCTTGTCAAAGACAGAATCTTCAAAAATTAGAAAATCTTTCATAATTTAAACCGCTCTCATTGAAAAAATACCGAAACGTGTTTAAAGCGTCCATTTTCAAAGTAATTATTGCTATCTTGTGAGTTTAATTTAAATTTTATTTACTCAAACCCGTGATAATTGTGGAAAAGTGGCATTAAAAACTTAAAAAGCTGTGCTGTGAACTGTGAACTGCAAAAACCATCGTGGATCGTAGCATAACGTCGCACAGTGATAGAAAATGGATTTCTGAAGTTCCAAAATTCAAATTTCTTGTTGACTTAAATCTTTTACAAAATGATATATTATCCTTCAAAGAAAGCTAATAAACAGTGCTACACAAATCCCAGTCGCCCTGGCTAAGAAACAATTGCTCCACGTTGATCGAAAGTCGAAGCAGTTAATACGCCGTTTCGAGAAATTCTGATCTCTGTTTCGATTGCAGTCTTAATCGTTTCGTTAAATTAATGTTTGTGTGTTTTGATTTCTCAAATACATGCTGCATATTTCTGAGATATGTAATTTGTGTTTTACGTAAAATTATGATGTTTAGTATGAAAGATATTTTAGGACGCTCAATTAAAGTGTACATTATAAATTAAAGAATAATGCGAAAACGTTGTTGCATAACAAGGTAGAACTTTTTTGTGCCTTGTTACGACTTCGAAATACTAACATCATTTTGTTCTCTACATTTTTTCCTTCTAAAGAAAAACAGAAACTTTTGCCACCAAGCGCCCCTTCTCATTTAGTATACAGTGTCCACCATAATGTTGGCTACATATGGGAAAAAAAAATATTTATAGGATTTCCGAAAATTTTGTTTGGTGGATCGCTCCTGCATGTTTAATAACCTAAAAAGTCATTATGACATCAGTCACGTGATCACTATCATGGCGACAAATTAAAAAAAACCGCTATGCAAATGCGAAAAGTGGGGTTAGATGGCAAAATATGGAAAAAAGTTATTTGAAAAAAATGTTTCGAATGATATTTTAAGGCTACCTGCAAAATTTGGAGCGGAAATAAGAAAAAGTAGAAAAAGGCATATTTTGAGTCCTGGCTCTTCTATAAAATATTTTTATACGGATTTTATTGCTGGATTAGCTCAAGTAACTTGATATTCAATGTGTAAAAGTAAAACAATTCAAAATTTCACATTGAAGTCATTTCCAGAGGATAAAATCAGAAAAGTCGATTTCGAAACGGTAATTTTTTGTAGCAATGCCGTGTTTCTTGACAGTTTTTCAGGTTTCCAATAATTCAGTGGTGCATGCTATACTCTGAATATCAAGTTACTTCAGCCAATCCTGTAATAAATTCCATATAAAACATTTTCATAGATGAACCAGGCTTGGAGCCAGGGCTAAAAATATGCATTTTCCACTTTATATAATTGTCGCAAATTTTGTAGATAGCCTTAAAATATCATTTTAAACACTTTTTTCGAATAACTTTTTTCGATATTTTGCCATCTAACCCCACTTTTCGGGTTATCATAGCGTTTTTTTTAATTTGCCGCCATGACAGTGATAACGTGACTGATGTCATAATGACTTTTAAAGTTGCTAAACCTGCAGGAGCGATCCCCCATACAAAATTTTCGCATATCCTATAAATTAAAAAAAATACCATATGTAGCCAACATTATGGTAGACACTGTATAGGTAGACAAAGAGGGTGAAATGTCGATTTTCAGTTATTTGCAGCTTAAATACAGTTGAAGATAGGTATATAACATAAAATACGTCTAGAATTTGACATAAAATCCACAAATAAAATAACAAATATAGGTGTTTCCATTAAAACAAAGAAGTTATCTGGCATAACTCAATTTTTGGGACACCCTGTATACATTAAAATATCATCATAAAAATAGCTTCATGGCATTATTCAAAAATTGCATCAACAAAATCAATAATCGACGTGTCCGAGCGTTTTTTCGAAAAAAAGAACATTGATTTTTCTAAGAGATTCCCACTGTGAAAATAAATAAACAATAAAGGCACTCTATAGTCATATCTATAGTTATTATTAAAAAAAAACTTTTGCAACATCATTTGTAAAAGTTTATTAGCTTATACCTTGATTTATAAAGCCGAAAAAAACACTTACATAACATAAATATTTTTGGAACCGTAGAATTGCATTTTCCATCACTGTGCGTCGGTTTCCAATGTTTTGTAACGTTTTTAGTTCGTTACATGTCTTTTTTATATATAATATATGATGTCTGGGCCTATCATCACCGGATTCCCTCTCGCTCAGGCCGGATAGTTTATTTGACGCGTAATTTTTACGTTCCCTAGTCGCCAACCCTGTTATCACTCGACACAACCCTGTTATTGCTCTGAGGAGGCGCTGTCAACATCGCTTCTGTCAACTGTCTCCGTGCTTAACCTCACTTTGTTTTGACGCTCTGTTGTATCCCAGCTTTTGGAAATGGTGATTATTTAAGTCTTGCTGTATAATTTGAATCAGCTGCTATTTCGAGGCTACAGGTAAAGATGAGTTATTACCTTTTATAGATTCGATATTATTATTGAATATTTTTAGGGTAGAGTTACGGATGTCCCAACTTGTATTTGTGTTTTGCTGGCACGTTGGCATCCCTTTTCTTTTGTCCTCCAGAATGTCACATGGAAGAAAGGACATGTTGTTTATTATTTATTGAGCCCTCGGAAGTATTTCGAGGTAGGTTTATTTTGTTTATTAGACCTTGTTTGGTTTTAAACAAGAGTTTCATATTTCTAGGGTCCAAGGTACGGACTATTTCCAAGGTACGGACTGTGTCCAAGGTACGGACTGTGTCCAAGGTACGGACTGTGTCCAAGGTACGGACTGTGTCCAAGGTACGGGTAGTGCCTTATGTACAGACATTATCTTATGTACAGATGTCCTGTGGACGAGTGTCCCCAGTAAGAACGATTTTACATACAACATAGGTATTTCATACATGTCTTTATATAAAATAAAGTTTCTTGTACGCAACACACTGTATTTTATTTATAAAATTAAAAGATAATAATAATAAATTTAAGAATATCAAAAGCTTTGGGTCGCGATCTTTGCAAGAATAGCACCAAATAGTATTTACATTGCCCTTATGGGCACTTTCCAATCTAAACTTGTTTCATTTATCTATGGTTTACGATCATTCACAATATCTAAGGGTGGCTGCAACGACGTCCCGTAATCCTGCGGTTAAAACAAAACAATTTTTATATGTGAAAACCAACTGTCATGTTTTAACAGCAGGATGACGGGACGTCGTTGCAGCCACCCTAAAAACATAATTAAAATTAATAGAATATCCTAGCAACATGCTAGCAACAGCTTGCGGTTGTCAGTTGTAGGTATCCACAGAGAAAGCCAAGTATTTAGCTTATAAAACAGTAAACTTTTGATTTCTAACCATAATTTCTCTCGGTGAAAGATAATCAAAGGTCAAAATGACATTTCCCGCAAATTTTGAAGTATAATTAATGGAAAAGTTAAAAGTTTGTTAACTTTTCGTGCTAATTGAAAATGACTACCACTAGTTTAGACGTTCTAAATGCTTACATTGAAATTAGAGGAACAAACTTCTAGGCTAATTGAAACCACTAATTTATTCCACTAATTGCGAGGTGCTGAATGAAGCTTAATTGACTAAAATTTAAACAGTTCTCAATATTTTGATGAACAAGATGCTTTAATAGTTTGACGCCATTCATGTAGATTAGTTGTATATTATGGAAAATATTATCCTTATATTACTGTTGGTATCTATTAAATAAACTTACCCTGCTATACCTCCGCTCTCCATGTGATTGGCTAAAGTAACGTCGTCGCTCCACACGTCGAACTGCCATTTTCTCAATCCCAAAACCCCACAAAGGACATTTCCAGTATGAATGCCTATTCGCATGTCAACATTGAATCCGGTAGCTTCACGAACAAATCTGTAAAATAAAATTATGCTAAGTTTTCTACAGTAATAAAAATAAAACAAATATTTTTGAAAATTTATAAATATTATTTTTTTCTGAAAAAGAATTAGGTATGTATGAAAATTATATATTTGTTATCCGTTCACAATATTATATACCGGGTGCGTCTCAAAAGTGGCTCATCCCTATAACTTTTATTTTTTCAGATAAAAAACGAGATTTGGTATGTTAGTATATGATATAATTTAGGATTGTTTTAGTATTGATTCGTATTCAATAGTTTTTGGTAACTTCCTGTTTCAGCAGAAATGACTACAACTTTTGATTTTTAAATGGAACAATAGATTTTTTTTACTTTATTCGATAGAAAATGACATTCTGAATAGAATGACATATCATATGTCAACTTTTGACATTCTCTCTTAATAAAAAATCGTATTTTAAATTTCAATCTAGAGTGCCATAGCTGTATTAAAAACACTAATTCTTAATCAACGAGCCTTGGAACAAATATATTTTTCCAAGGCTCCTGTTGGAACAGGAGCCTTGAAAACTATCTTTGTTGTTTGAATGTTTTTATATAGTATCTTCTCCTGGCCAGTTAGAAAATGCTCAAATCGTATTTTTAATGATATCTCAATTTTTTCAAATGGAACCAGGGTGGCTCATTAGCATATTTGGAAAAAGCATTTTTTACGAATAATTTGATACCACACACTTGGTATTCCGAGTCAAATTGTCGTTATGAATCGCAGGTTACAATTACAAATCAACCGTATGCGAAAATGTCAAAAGTTGACATATGATAAGTCATTCTACTCAAAGTGTTATTTTCTATCGAATAAAGTAAAAAATGCCGAGGGTGCTATTTAAATATCAAAAGTTTCCGTTAAAGCAGAAAGTGACCGTAAACAATTGAATACGTCAATCAATCCTAATTTATGTCATATACTAACATACCAAATCTCTTTTTTTTAACTGAAAATTTCACACCTCTACTTTTCAACCAATAACATGCTTTAATGTTGACTAGTTACCATGGCAACTGAAAAAATTTCCGGAAATTTTTTCGAGGCGCCACGAAACTTTAGTGGAAATTTTTTGACAGTTGAAAAGGTAAACATAAGATCTACAATCATAATGTGAATGAACTACAATGTCTATATATTGAAATATTACCCATTTGAGTTTTAGCATTTGATGTAACTAATTAAAAATATAATAATATTTGTTAATATTATTAACAAATTGAAATTATTTTAAAATGTCATGTTGGATTAATATTTTTTTCAAATTTAGGTGTGAAATTTTCTTACCGAATACCACGCAAGCTTAAATTATTCCTGGAAATTTTCTTTCGGGCACGAATATTTTAGGAAAATTATCCCTCGTCTTCGACTCGGGATAATTTTCAAAATATTCGTGCCGTCAAAAAAATTTCCGAAAATAATTTAAGCTCTTGTGATATTATAAGTGAAAAAATAAAAAAGATGTAGAGGTGAACCACTTTTGAGACGCACCCGGTATACGAATTATTATAATGATTATAATAATAAAAAAGGTCTTGAATACTTATAATATTACTTGTTTTTCACTACTTAAAATAAAATTTGGTATGACGAATTTGATGTCGCTGTTGTAATGTAAAACGTGTAACGTATGTATTTGCGTGTCATATACAAATAAGTTATGCATTTGACTGTTTATTGATGTATATACAGGGTGTCCATGAAATAAAAGTGCAAGTATTTTAAGGGGTGGTAGATCTCGATAAAAGAAACATATTTTCTCTTTATCGTTTTTCAAATAAATCGAAAATAACATAGTTATGTTACTTTGAAAATTTCCAAAAAAAATTACTTTTTGTTCAAATTTTGAGAACCAACTGGATATTTTCTGGATTTTCTTTCTTGTACATTTAATCTACTACCTATGTAGCCATATTATCAAGAAATTATGTTTTTAACCAAAAACTAAAAGAAATTCCAAAAAATTTCGAATTTTCAAAAAAAAATGTTTGCGAAAAAAACCTCATAGGTGTGTTTCTGGGGTTAAACTATACTACCAGTTAAAATACTTGCACTTATTTATTTCTGGAACACCTTGTATAAATGAATTCCAATATTATTATTATTATGCATATGTATATTTTTTTTTTGTTGTTTCAGCTTAAGTAATATTTTATTTTTTTATTACTTTTTTTTAATTGTGCAAATAGTTACTTGTGCACTACTTAAAATATGCTTATGTTTTGTATTTATACTTCGCAAATAACAAATGTAGTCCGGTATTCCCATACACGCTTATGCTGATGATACGCAGATATATGCGTCTTTTGCTAAGACTGATTTTGGCCTTGCTCTTAATAAAATTAATTTAGACTTACATAACATATATCTTGAATCCATTAAATATGACTTAATATTAAACCCTCAAAAATAAAGGTGATGTTGTTTGCAGGCGGAAATCATTATCAGGATCTCCTCGGCGAGGTTAGGTTATCAATTAATGGTGCCATACTGCCTGTGGTCGAACAGGCAAAAAATCTGGGAGTTATAATAGACAGATCCTTTGCCTATAGCAGGCATGTATCGTCCTGCATTCAAAGATCATATGCTGGTTTGAGACGACTGTATCCTCACCGTTATTATCTGAGCCATAAGCTCAAGGCTAACTTGTGTAATGCCCTAGTTTTGTCGCATTTTTCTCATTGTGCTCCATTGTATTCGCAAGGCTTAAACACTCATGAAGTGTATCGAATACAAAAAGTGCAATACATGCAATACATGTTTGAGATATATTTTTAATCTAAGAAAATTTGACCATGTTTCGCATAAACTTCGAGAATTGGAGTGGCTTAGTATGAAGAATAGGCATCGCTTGGGCACACTGAGTCTGTATCATTTTATTATTACTACCCAAGAACCAACTTACCTGTTTGAAAAGATTCAACTTAGAGAGAATGCGCATAGTGTTAATATTAGAGCAAAGGACACTCTTACAATTCCCTACCATAAGACCTCTCTTTTTGAAGGTTCGTTCAGTTATTGTATTGTGAAATTATATAATGAATTACCTTCAAACCTAAAAACTCTAAATATTCATACATTTAAGATGCATACCCGTCGATGGCTTTATGAAAATCTTTTGGTCAGTTAGATAAAGAAAAAAAAGGTCTTTTTTAGATAAAGAAAAAAAAAGGTCTTTTTTTTCTTTATCTAACTGAAACTTTTTTTTCTTTGAAATTGAGTTTTTTTTTCACTGTTTTTTTTTATTGATTTGTTTTGCTTATTATTATTATTATGTTTTTATTGTTCATTTTTCATATGACATATTTTAATCTTTTTCACCTTTTACTATTTTTTTTTGTACTTCATTCGGATGCATTCGGAGTTAAATGGAAGAGCAGAAGCATTATGCTTCTGAATTTCGCTCCACTCCAAAATTGGGTTTTGATTATTTATATGTATATATATATATATATATATATATATATATATATATATATATATATTATATATATATATATATATATATATATATATATATATATATATATATATATATATATATATATATATATATATATATATATATATATATATATATATATATATATATATATATTCTGATGGTGTGATTATTTAATTTCTATGATTTCTTACTATTTTAATGTATTAATAATTAACTGTATTTTATTTTACTTTTTTTTTGGAAATAAAGGCATTATTATGTTCTTGAATCTCGGGCTTTCCGGTATTTAACGTAGTCGCGGACTTAAGTCAAGCGTCAACGCTTTTTACTGTGTATTTAAGACTTGTCGTGTAATATTACATGTGTGGAGGATAACTGTTTTTTGAATGGGTATATAAAGTTTTGGTGGAAGTTCAAGGCCTTTCAGACTATCATGTAATGATCTTGGGATCAGTCCTGTTGATGACACTATTATTGGTATAATTTTTACAATGTCCTGGTGCCACATCTGCCTTATTTCTTCTGCTAGAGGTATATATTTTTCAATTTTTTCAGTGTGTTTCTTCTTGACATTTTGTGAATTTGGTATGGATATCTCTATTAAGTATGTCGTTTTGGTTGGGTTTGTGGATGAGCGTGATGTCGGTTTGTTGTGTGGTGTGGTTTTGTCTGTGATTATATCCCGGTTCCAGTAGAGCTTGGCTGTCTTATTTTCTAGAACGTTAGCTGCTTGATATTTGTAGTATGGTGTATGGTAGCAGATGAGTGAATATTTCTTTGCTATTTCCTGATGGATTATTCTGCAAACATCGTCGTGTCTTTGGGTATATTGTCTGGAAGCAAGTATAGGGCATCCCCCGGTTATGTGTTCTATTGTTTCGGTTTGTGTGTGACATAGTCTGCATTTGTCTGTAGGTGTTTTGGGGTCTTTGATTATGTATTTCTGGTAATTACGTGTGGCGATGATCTGGTCCTGGATTGCTATTATGAAACCCTCGGTTTCTCCAAACAGGTTACCATGAGTAAGCTATGCATTGGATGCTGCTATGTCAATGTGTGGTGTGTTAGTTGGTTTGCATGTTTTCCATGTAGGGCTTTGGATTTCCATTTTTCAATTTTAGTGTTTGTTGTTGTAATTGCATCAACTGGTATGAATGCTTCATTGTTGAATTGTAACGGTGTACCTGATGTTGTTAGGTTAACAATGCTTCGGTGTAGTGGGCTGGTAACTGCTTTCTCTCTGAAATATTCTCTGAGTGTGTGTATTTGCTTGTAGTTCATGTTCTTTAGATCCATGAATCCCCTTCCTCCTTCTTTTCTTTTTAGTGTAAATCTTTCTGTTGCCGCGTGTATATGGTGTATTCGGTACTTGTTACATGTTGTTCTTGTTAACCTGTTTAGTTCTTCTAATTCTGTGTCACTCCATTTTATAACGCCAAATGAATACGTCAGGACGGACGCTGCATAGGTATTTATTGCTTTCACTTTGTTTCGACCGGACAGTTCTGTTTTGAGTATTTGTTTTATTCTGTTTTTGT